GTTATAATCATCAACAGCTGCTTTGAAAGGAGCTACTACAAATATTGATGAATTTGTTAAGCAAAGTAATTCATTGAAATTGATTCAAAAATAATTAAATAAAATCAAATCTAAGATTTCACTTGTTGGTCACATATATAATATATCTTGATGAATATAAGATAGAGGTGAAGAAAGAAGACAAACAAGCATATGTAGTTGATATCATTTAAGCATAAAATCTATTGGAATAAGCTATTCATCATGCAGAAGAAGGAGCAGAATCTAAACTTGATAGATTTGCAAGAGATGTCCAACATATCCTTATTCCTCAATTGGAGAAGTAGATTGGTGCTTTAGATGGAATTATCTAAGATAAAAAATATATTGATGCTGGATTGAGTTTAGAGTAAGCCATTAAAGAGTTAGGAGAATGCGATGAATAATGTAAGAAACTAGAAGCAGATGCTAAGAAATACAGACATTATGAAAGCACTTTAGGATTACCTACTTCTTAATTCTAGAGTTTAGAGGATTTAAGGAATGATTTGAATCTCAGGTATTCAATGTGGAAGTCTACAAAGGAGTGGATTGAATTAACTTAATCATGGATTGATGGAAAATTTATAGATATCAACACAGATGAAATTAAGGCCAAAGGAGAATATTATACCAAGATTGTCAATAGATGTTCTAAGGGATTACCAGCAAATCAAGTTTTAGACGAATTGAAAGATAAGGTATTTTCATTCAAAGATACTATGCCTGTAGTATTGGCATTAAGAAATAAAAATTTAAAAGATTATCATTGGGTGCAAATCAAATAGGAGATTCTGAAATAAGACTTTGAGATCACTGAAACATTTACATTAAGAAATTTAATGGACATGAAGGTTGGAATCTATTAAGAACAGATATAAGAAGTTGCTACTTAGGCTACCTAGGAAGCTGTATTGGATGCCTAATTTAATGATATTGAGTAAAAGTGGAAGGCTCTTGAATTTACATGTGTTAACTATAAGCCTGAAAACCTAAGGAACAAGGAAGTTTATGTGCTCACTGAAATAGACGAATTATAAGCTGCCTTAGATGATTTCTTGGCAAGTTTAAATAATATATTGGGGTAGTAGATACTTGAAGATGTTGAAGAAAGAGAGCTGAAAAATTATAAAAGGATGTGTTGATTGCATAAGAAACTTTGGATGATTGGTTATAAGTTTAGAAAAATTGGATTTATTTGGAAAATATTTTTGCCAGTCAGGACATAAAAACCAAATTGAAGGAAGAAAATGCTTTGTTTGAAAACGTTGATAAATAATTTAAGGCCATTATGAAAAAGACTAATTCATAGAAATAAGTTCATAGAGCAAGTGGATTACTTGATAAATTCAGAGAATATAAAGAAACATTAAATAGAATTCAAAAGGCATTAGAATCCTATTTAGAAGAAAAGAGAATGGCATTCCCAAGATTTTATTTCCTATCAAACGATGAACTTTTGGAGATTTTAGCTAAATCATAAGATTTTGATGCAATTCAAAGAAATTTAAAGAAATGTTTTGAAGCCATTTATAGACTTGAATAACCTGAAGAAGGTGCTAGATCAGTAAATGGAATGATTTCACCAGAAGGAGAGAAGATTCCATTTGTAAAGGGTGTTTCAACAAAAGAAGAAGTTGAATTGTGGTTGATGAAAGTTTAAGATTAGATGATTGAATCCTTAAAGAAGAGAATGAAACAAGGAAAAGTAGAGAGTGAAACCTAAGAAAGAAATCACTGGTTACTAAATTAACCAGCTCAAGTAGTTGCCACAATTTCGAATCTAATCTGGACATATGATACTGAATAAGCTATTAATAGTATGACAGATGATTCTACTGCTTTATCAAAACACTATAATCTGTTATATGAGTCATTGAATGGATTGACTGCCTTAGTTAGAGGTACATTGACTCCACTTCAACACAAAGTCATAGTGGCATTGATTACTTAGGATGTTCATGCTAGAGATATTGTGGATGCTTTAACTGATGAAAATGTTAGTTCAATCAGTGAATTCTCATGGTAATAATAATTAAGATATTATATGGATGAAAATGATCTAATAATAGTGAGATAAGTTAATGCTAAATTAAATTATGGATACGAATATTTAGGAGCTACAACAAGATTGGTTATTACTAATTTGACAGACAGATGTTGGATGACAATTACTGGAGCATTGAATATTAAATTAGGAGCAGCTCCAGCTGGACCAGCAGGAACAGGAAAGACAGAATCAAGCGAAGGACTTGGCCAAAGCTTTGGGAATGTTTTGTGTTGTGTTCAATTGTTCAGATTAAATTGAATATAAGATGATGGGACGATTATTCAGTGGTTTAGTTTAATAAGGAGCTTGGGCATGTTTGGATGAATTCAATCGTATTGATATTGAAGTGTTAAGTGTCATTGCTCAACAATTATTAACTGTAAGATAGGCATTAATCAGAAGAGATTAATAATTTATATTTGTGAATCCAGATAAACCCAATCAATTTAAAGGAAGAAGTGGGAGTATTCATTTACAATGAATCCAGGATATGCTGGTAGAACTGAATTACCAGACAATCTAAAGGTCTTATTTAGACCAGTATCTATGATGATTCCTGATTATAAATTAATTGCTGAAATCATGCTTTAAGCAGAAGGTTTTGAAGATGCCAAGTCTTTGTCATAAAAGATGACTCAATTATATCAGTTGAGTTCCCAACAGTTGAGTTAACAGGATCATTATGATTTTGGTATGAGAGCAGTCAAATCTGTGTTGGTCATGGCAGGAGCATTAAAAAGAGCAGATATCAATTAACCTGAGGATGCCGTTCTAATCAGAGCCATGAGAGACAGTAATGTACCAAAGTTCTTAAAAGATGATCTACCCTTATTTTCAGCTTTGATTAGCGACTTGTTCCCAACTGCCATTATTAAGGAAGTAGATTATGGAGACTTGCAAAAGTAAATAGAAATATCATTGGATAAAATGAAATTGTAAAGAGTGCCAAATTTGATTACCAAAACCATTTAGCTTTTTGAAACATTCAATGTAAGATTTGGTGTGATGTTGGTGGGTAATACAAACTCTGGAAAAACTTCATGTTATAAATGTTTAGAAATGACTATGAGTGACTTAAGGAGACTTAACCATTAGGATTAAAGATATTAATTAGTTACATCTTATGTTCTAAATCCTAAGTGTATTTCCATGGGAGAATTATATGGTGAAGTGAATGTATTTACTTAAGAATGGCAAGATGGTTTGGCATCTTAAATCATGAGAGAAGCTGCTGCTGATGAAACCAATGAGAAGAAATGGGTAGTGTTTGATGGACCCGTTGATGCCTTGTGGATTGAAAATATGAATACAGTGTTAGATGACAATATGATGCTTTGTTTGGCTAATGGTCAACGTATTAAATTAAGAACCTAGATGAGAATGTTATTTGAAGTGCAAGACTTAAGAGTAGCATCTCCAGCCACAGTCAGTAGATGTGGTATGGTTTATTTGACACAAGAAGATTTGGGATGGCTACCTTATGTATAATCTTGGGTTGAAACTGAATTCGGTCCCAAAGAGATTCAACTTAATGGAAATATACAAAACGTAGAAATTCTGTAAAAAAATGAAAGGACATATTTGTAATCCTTATTTGAAGAATATGTCAACGATGTCATCAACAAAATCAGAAAGACATTTAAGGAAACTATTGGAACTAATGACACTCAGTAAGTAGTTTCTTTATGTAATCTATTGGAAGCCTTTATCAGTGATAAATATGGATTCAAAGCTACAATGACTGCAGACTCAAGAAAACGTTTTATTTTGTATGCTTTCACATTTGGATGTATTTGGTCAGTTGGAGCTTCTATTGATGACAAACATCATGAAGACATGAGTGATTTCTTCCGTGATCGCTTTTAGAGTATCATATTCCCAAATGTTGACCAAGTGTACTCATATTACTTAGATACTTCTAATGAATTATCTTTCAAGCATTGGAATGATAAAATTGAAGAATTCACATATGATCCCACTGAACAGTTTTTTAATATGCTCGTACCAACAGTAGATACTGTTCGATATTCTTACATCATTGAACAGTTGTTATCTATTAATAAGAGAGTGTATTTGACTGGTCCCACAGGAACTGGCAAGAGTCAAGTCTTGGCTAAATTATTAGTTTAAATATAAGAACCCAGATCGATAGATCCAGTGTATATAATATTTTCAGCTCAAACTACATCCATG